CCAGCGTCAACCCATATCTCATTTTCTCTCCGAGAGGGTAAGTCTACAGATCGAGCCCAGTATCCGTCACTTCCCATACACGTATGACGTGTTCACAAGGCTGAGAAGGCCAGGGCCTTCAGAACTATTGCCGAGTCGTCAGCGTATATTACTGGTTTGATGGTTATCCCGTGGTGCGGGTCATTCAGAGCCAGCAGTTTTTCTCCTAGTTCGATAGTGGCGTAGCTATACAGCCTCGGCGACAGAATAGATCCTTGTTGGATCCCCTTGGTGGAGTATCGCCGGACTCCCCCTAAACTCGACCATTGTCCACTGAGGAACGAGCGCACCAGTTCCGCAAAGCCATTGTTGGCTAAATGGCCGACGGCTGCACAAATAGATTCGTGGCTAATGGAGTTGAACGCCGCCACTGCATCGAACGCCGCGACGGCCCTTAGTCCTTGGTTCTTAGGTTTACTCTCTAGGGCACTCGAAAGATGTTTCCATGCTGTGTCGGTTGACCTGTTGGAGGTGAATCCGTGCACGAAGGGAGGGAGGGCGCCTATGGAGCGCTCTAGCCGTTCGCTTATCACGGCCTCACATACTTTTGCAAGTGTCATCGATATTAACGATCAAGAATCGAGTGACGACCGAGCGTTCTGGCATAGCCCAAGATATCGCTCGACTCTCCCTACTGGTCAGAGCCGACATCCATTGGTGTCCGGGCCATGAAGGAGCCAGATGGAATGAAGAAGTCGACGTGCTGGCCAACATCGGGCGGAAGTCTTTCTTCCCCTTGGAGTCCAAGGCTTGGACCGTTATCCGTCGCCACAAGTCTCCACGGCATTTATTAAAAAGATGGCTAAGGAAGCAGCTTCGGAGTCGACCCGCCAATGGTGGATTGACAAGAGGCGTACCCTAGGAACGTCAGTTAAAGACTTTCTATGGGGCTACAGCCACGCCAAGCGCTATTTGAAGGCTGGTAGGTCTTCTCCTGAGCTTGCTGCCTTAATTACAGGTCATGCCCCCACACCGCACCACCGGTGTACGATGGGCATCAGAGCCGATCCTTCCTGCCCCTGCGGCTGGGACAACGGAGATGTGAAGCACTTATTACGAGACTGTCCTTTATTGGACGGTGCCCGACGCGACTCGAAGCTTTCGCGAGTTCTGCCGAAGGCGAATTACAAGATGATCCTCGACCGTCGATATCGTCCTTCCCTACTGAAGATGGCGAAGCTGACCTTCGAGTGGCTGAAGAATCTCCGAGAAGCGGAGACTCAGCCTTAGCAGTGCGGACTGATGGCGTCAGCGTCTCTGCTGGCGTTCATCCAAGCCCAGGACAGTTTTGTTTTTGTCCTTTCCATGAGTACTCTGGCGTCCAACGCCGATTCCTGGAGAGTAAAGTCCGAGATCGGCACTTGATGAGAGGTTAGGGAGAGAAGCGGACGGTGAGCTGTTGGATAGTGTCGCTGTGTGATGTCAGTCTCTCACTCCTGAGTCTGGATGTGTCTTGCTCTTGA